ACGACTTTGGCAAGTACGTGTCGGACTCTGCAGGGGACCTAAGCATTGCTGTCGAGCCGGGCACGGGGCGGCCCGCCGTCGTCGGACACTACCTGCGTGCGGCTGCCGCGCTCGCCGCCGAGCTGAGGTGGGGTTGCGGACCAGCGGCGCGTCGGCCACGGGCTGATACCGTCGTCGGTGCGGGTGTGTGGGGCCGCCGCGTCACGGCCGACTGTCGTCACGGCGTCAGCGGGCTCGGCGCAGTATGCGCTCCGGGCGGACCGCGACCGCGGCGACGAGCGCCGCCGCCGGCTTCCGAGTGCAGGCAGCGGCGGCGGCGCTCGGTCGGGCGTGGCTGGCGCGCGGTCCCAGCCCCGGGCGAGTCCCTGCTTAGCTGGAGCGGCGGCCGCGTGGCGGCGGTCGGCAGCGGCGACGTCCGTGCGCCCGTATTGAGCGCGACGCTGCCGGCCGGCCGGCGCTGGGAGGTGCCCGAATGGAGACGTGCGCTTCGAGAGTGACGGGAGTAGAGCTGGAATCAGGCTGTTCATTGACACATTTCGGGGGGATAGAGCGAACCGGGTCCGCTCATCCGCCGGCACTTGACTGGGGACTGATGCCCGCTGGCCTTGAGCGGGAGTCGCTCCCGCTGTTCGAGTGGAACGTAATTGTACCGTTCGCTTGCCGGAGATGACAGCGGATGGAGATGACAGACCATCCGACCGGGGCCTGGTCTGTCGTAAAGCAACGATCGTGAGCATTTATGGACATCGCGATCCAGGTTTCTTCTGCATTATCGAGCAAACTGAGTGGGACCCCTCGCAGCTGGGCCATGATGGCTTCATCGTGTGGTGCTCCACGGCCTTTCGTTACGCTCCCTTTGGCTGATGTGTAGTTTTACATGTCGAGGTCCCAGGAAGCGTTGAGAGATGCCAGCTCTGTATGCCGTTTGATTGCGGCCTGCGCTCGGCGCCGCCCTCCGTTCTCTGAGCCGACCGGTGGCGTCGCCGGCATGGGCCGCCTCTGGGGGCTGCTAGTGGCCTCCAACCCCGGTGGACGAGTGCACACGCCCGTCCCCCGCGCGCCTGGTCCGTCCCCGCACGTCTCATCAGCCCTCCCCCCCGCCCCGCGCGCCTCGTCCGTCCCCTGTGCACCTCGTCCGTACTCGCGCGCCTCGTCCGTCCCCCGCGTGCCTCGTCCGTCCCCCCGTGCACCTGTTCCGTACTCGCGTGGCCTCGTCCGTCCCCCGCGCGCTTCGTCCGGCCCCCGCGAACCCCGTCCGTCCCCCGCGGGCCTCGTCCGTCCCCGGCGTGCCTAGTCCGTCCCCGGCGTGCCTCGTCCGTCCCCGGCGTGCCTCGTCCCGTACCTCGCGCCCCTACCGCCGAGCGGCCGTGATCTCAGGCGTTCCCCTCCGCCAAACTGCCCCTGATCTCAGACTTGCCCCTATCGCCAAGCTGCCCTGATCTCAGACATGCCCCTCTACCGAGCGGCCCTGATCTCAGACATGCCTCTCTACCGAGCGACCCTGATCTCAGACATGCCCCTCCGCCGAGCGGCCCTGATCTCAGACATGCCTCCCCACTGAGCCCGTCTCATCCCAGCCATGCCCCTCGGCCGGCGTCGGAGGCCAGGCACGTCTGGTACAACCCTGCCCCAGATGCCCCAGTCATGCCGAACGGTGTTTTTGCCTGAGTGAAATGAAATGGTCAGATCACCGGCCCCTGCATTACTGAAGTGCTGTGGGTAACTGCAGTAGCGTATATAATGACCCCTTCCACACTGATGTGTCACGGATGGAGTAAATAGTCGGAGTATTGACGTCTCCCGGCTTGAGAGTGTCTGCGTAACGTTTCGGCCAGTAAACGCTCCGGTGGCGGTAAGGTGTTCATGAGACGCTCCGGTCGCGGTTAAGGTGGTCATGAGACGCTCCGGTGGCGGTAAGGTGTTCATGAGGACGCTCCGGTCGCAGTAAGGTGGTCAGAGACGCTCCGGTCGCGGCAAGGTGTTCATGAGACGCTCCAGTGGCGGTAAGGTGTTCATGAGACGCTCCGGTGGCGGTAAGGTGTTCATGAGACGCTCTGGTGGCGGTAAGGTGTTCATGAGACGCTCCGGTGGCGGTAAGGTGTTCATGAGACGCTCCGGTCGCGGTAAGGTGGTCATGAGACGCTCCGGTGGCGGTAAGGTGTTCATGAGACGCTCCGGTCGCGGTAAGGTGGTCATGGGACGCTCCGGTCGCGTAAGGTGGTCATGAGACGCTTCAGTCGCGGTAAGGTGTTCATGAGACGCTCGGTGGCGGTAAGGTGTTCATGAGACGCTCCGGTGGCGGTAAGGTGTTCATGAGACGCTCCGGTGGCGGTAGGTGTTCATGAGACGCTCCGGTCGCGGTAAGGCGGTCATGAGACCTGGACAACGGCTGGATGGTGTCCGCTTTCAGGCTTACGCTGTACGCTTCACAGCCTGAATTTTATCTGTCGTTGCTGGAACTCGAATCGGGGTATTTTTAATGAGGCCAGCTTTACACACTGAGCTAACCGGGAAGAACACATTGCCAGTCCCGTGGGAATTCTAACGTGCGCCTGGCGTGTCGCCCCCTGCGACCCCTGTTGCTTGCCGGCGCGGCTTCGTTTGTCTCATGGATGTTTCGGAATTTTTGCAAGAGCTGGCCGCCGTTTATAGACATCGCTCGAGCCAGGGTGGTGCCCCCCCCCCCCCCCCCGGGGCTTACCGGTGGTTGTTAGCCCAGTGCCATGCTGCTGCCTCCTTGATCGTCTTCCTAATTTTCCAGCGTTTTCTGTCTGTCGATGATGGGCGTCTCATCGCATGCTTGGCTGGTGATTGCCTTCTGGCAATGTGTCCTCTGCCACGCCAGACTTCAGCGAGCCAGACGCAAGAGTCTCGCCCAGCATGATACTGCTTCTGTGCGGTTTCCCGCCCCAAAGATCTGCCCTCAAGCGTTCCGTAATACCCCAGCGGCATTACGGCACTGCCTCAGTTCCGGGCGGCCGGCGCGGCGAGAGCCGAGGATCATGTGGGGGATCAGGTTGCCGCCACCTGTCTCCCCGTTAACGGCGCGTCCCGCCGCCACCGGCCTCCGCCCCACGCCGCCGCCGGCACGCGGCCGGTGCCGGCTCTCCCACGCGGCTCCGGCCGGCCGCCGACCGTGGGCGGGGTGCCGGGGTGGCGAGACGAGCGCCGCGGCGCGGCCGCACCACGCCCTGAGCTCTCAGCCTTCAGCGGCCGTCACCGGGTGCCGGCACGCGGCCCCGGCGCCGCGGCGACCGCCGGGTGCAGCCACGCGTCCGCCTACCCGACGGCGGGCGGAGACAGCCAGCCAGTGTCGGACGGGAGGTCTCCAGCCGACAGACAGGATCGCTGGAATCAGGGCAGCTGCGCTAAACGACGGCGCGCTGGGAAATGTGCTTCATCCGTCAGATGGGCACAATGAAACAGTCGACCGTTGCAAATGGGCTTCGTCCTTCGGCTCCGGTGATGCTGCTGAGCCAAATGGCCTCCAAGTCCCCGGCGATTCTCCGTATCCACTTAGCATCCGAGCAAATGGTTAAACAATGCATTCCGATAGCAGCTCAGTGCGTTATATAACTTGAGTTCTGTGAACTACCTGATTTATGATCTCAGTCTGCTATCACTTCCGCTACTGTTGGTTCGCACTCAAGGCGAATATAAATCCGGGTCTGCAAGCAAACATCCGTTACGGTCTTAAGTCTATCATCGCTCATGTATTTGGAGCATACACTGCTACATTCTGCTGTCATGGAGTGAGCTCTGTCTGTGGGTTTCGCCGTTCGACTGAGTTGACTGTTTTCTGTGGCGTCGATCGATGTCTAGTCGCCGCTAACCACCACTCTAGAGGCTTTTTAGCGATCAAAACACGCTGAGTGGCCCGAGAGATTCAAGATTGCTTTGTTGGGCACCGGCAGAGATCTTCACTGAATGCATGAAAAACGGCCGCTCCATCTGCCGAGGCGCGGTTTGTTGTGTCGGTGGCTCCGAGGATTCATCATCTGGCGAGCAGCCGCGCAGCCCGCTCGGGAGTCTGTTCTTTCCATCCATCACCGGGGCCAGAGCATCTGGCTGTATCCACCCGACCTTGGTATGCAAAGGCCTTTTTGTGCGCTGACTCGTCGGCACCGCGCCCTGCCGTCGGGTTCAGCTTTTGGACTCCTCTGGATTCCGAGGTGACGGCCAGGACTCCAGCTTACTGGCAATGCTGGCCTCCGCGAATGCCAAGATACTTCTTGCTTGGAATGGAAGTTAGTGAGAGTGTATAGTCATATTGCTATTCAAGCCAGCTGAGCCTGTCATATGATATATCTTCAATGGCAAGGGCGCCCATACATTTTCCGGTTGCCGTGAGGCGTTGTCACGGAGGCCTTTGTTTCCCGGCGTTTTCCGTAAGTGTATTGCATCTCCTGTCAGCGCGACATGATGAGCAGTTACCTTTCAGACATATGCACAATCCACATACCAATCCACATGACGCGGATCTTTAAGCACCGTGCGTAAAGAAGCTCCCGACTCCCGGAAAGTATCTTCAAAGGCGCCCGTCTTTCTCCGCCTTTGGAGCGTTCTGAGAGACGCCAGTGCCTCTCAGAAGCATCCGCAGGTGGTCCGCTGCGTCTCCGTGGGGCGCCCGGTGTCCCGTGGCAGCGTCCAGGCCGTCCAGGCCCTCCACGCTCGCCGGCAGCGGCTGCAGGCACCGAGAAGTGCGGCGTCGCGGCCGAGTTGTTCCGGAGTGGTCGCCCCGGGCCGGTGGCTGCAGGGGCGTGCTGCCGCCGGCGCCGGCTGCGTGAGACAGCGGGCGGGACTCGTCGCCGGTCCGCGCCGCTCTGCCCGCTCTCCCCGGCGACCGTGAGGTGCGATCTGCCGCGCCCTGCGCCAGGTCAAGCCACTCATCGGGGTCGACAGAAGTTGTTTATGTACACCACCATTGGTTGGGTTTTCTTCAAGCCATTTCTTTTCTACATCTCGGGAATATGGTGTCACGTCCGGTGGTGATTTCAGCAATGGTCTTCAACATCGCAAAGTGCGTCGCAGTTTGTCCTCGTGTCAGCTTTGTAAATATTGTGTCTCATATCTACGTTCGCCATCGCACGCGGGCATTATCACTGGAGTGAAAACCCTGGTCGTATCACGCATATCTGAAGCTCTGGAGAAACGCTGCCCACCATAAGCGTTTAACATGTGGCCATTTCTCCCTCAGACCGCCTCCGTGTGTGGGCTGTTATGACGTGGCGGTGCCTGGCTTGTGCCAACGCTGGACGTGTAGCGGACAGACGCTCGGCTGTGTGAAATACACGGGTCCGTCCTTCTCCTCCTCCTCCTCCGGCCTTTTCATCAGCCCGATCGTTACCCGGCTTAGGTGCTCGTAAATTGCTCCGAAGCATGGGACACTAAACGTAGCGTAAAATCGGTCGTAAAGTGTGCCCGTAAAGGGGCGTGCCTACCGGGGCGTGCGTGGCGCCCCCGCCGCCCGGTCCGTGCTGGAGTGCGGACTCCCGCTGGGCAGCCGCCGGCGGCCGGTGTGAGGGGCGGCCGGCGGAGCGGAGGTGTGAGAGGCGGCCGGCGGCGCCCGGGGAGCCGGCCTGCCGCCGCCGGAGCCGCGGCCCCCGGCGCCGCCCGCCCAGCCGCACGCTCGAGGCTCCGGCCGGACGTCCGGGTGGAGTCGGCTGGCCGCGGTGCCATGCTCAGCGGAATGATGACGGGTTCATCTTTCGCGGGCGCACGGCTTTCAGGAGTGTATGAAGGCGCCGGGGAGCAGCTGCGCCCGGGCGGAGCGAGCCCGGCTCGCGGTGCGACTTCTGTCTGGCGAGGAGCGCTGCACTGTCGGAGCCGGCTGTCGCCGGGCGCAGCCGCTCCCATCAGCGGTCCGCTCCCGTGGACGCCTGCATAGCGAAGGCTTCGGAAGGGACCGGGTGAATGACAACGGTCACCTGTGAACTGCCAAGCCCATGTGCCATTCATGGGCAGAAGCGTGCATAAGTTGTGTGCTGCCGTTTCCTTTATCTCATCCATCATTGCGCCTTGTGCGGATGTGATGAGGTTACATCCGAGTCCTCTCCGGTGCATATTAGTCAGGCTAAACAGAATGGCTTATTTGTCACTCCCCGTTCAGAGACCCGCTGTCGTGAATAAAAGGCGCATTGTGTCCCACCACAAAGGCGTATGTTGTTGCACTGTAGTAAGCCCAGTTCATTCACCGGAAAGGAGACGCCGTGCTACGGTGGGTCATGTCCGTCAGGATGCTATGTGTATCTGATATCTGCTGGTTCCATGGCTGCACGTTAAGCAGGGGATGCCGTCGCTGCGGACATTTGGGGATGACCGTGACGGCGTCCTCAGCTGTCATTGGTGCTACTGGCTGGGAGAGCGCCCCAAGCCCGGGCGGCGGCGGGTGCATCCTCAGCTGTCATTGGTGCCACTGGCTGGGAGAGCGCGCGGGTGCGTCCTCAGCTGTCATTGGTCCCTCTGGCTGGGAGAGCGCCCCAAGGCCGGGCGGCGGCGGGTGCGTCCTCAGCTGTCATTGGTGCCACTGCCTGGGAGAGCGTCCCAAGGCCGGACGGCGGCGGGTGCGTCCTCAGCTGTCGTTGGTCCCACTGGCTGGAGAGCGCCCCGGGGCCGGGCGGCGGCGGGTGCGTCCTCAGCTGTCAGTGGTCCCACTGACTGGGGGAGCGCCTAAGGGCCGGGCGGCGGCGGGGTGCGTCCTCTCGCTGGCCGTGCGTCGCGAACGCCGGCGTTGTCGCCGGCGGGCGGGCTTATCCATCTCGGACCCGACCGACCGCAGACCCGGCCGACCGCACACAGCCAGACGCTAGACGCAGGCCCGCTGCATCGACTGCCAGAGGTGGCGAGCCGGCGAGGCCGGAGGTCAGGCAGTATCAGCAACCTCGATCGCAGACCTGCTGATCAGAGTGCGTCAGAGCGCCAAGCCCCAGCAATGCTCGCCGCCTGGGAGCCTGGCGAGCCAGGGGAACGGGCCGTCGGATCGGAAGGCTCCCGCTGGAGAGGGAGCCTTGGACGTCCACCGCCGGAGCCGCTGGACCCAGACCCTGCCGCGTGGAGCGGGCAGGAGAGCAGGTATCGCTGTTGTCAGCTTTCATGGACCGTCCCGCATGAAGTCAGTGGGGACCGGCGGCAGCAGCCGGCGCAGAAGCGGCCTCGACCGTGGAGGCTTCGACTGGGCGTCACCGACGCGCTCTCGCACCGCGGGGAATCTGCCGCAGAGCAGAATTGGACCTCGTTTGCCTCTGCTTCGACAGGCCGTAATGGTCGCGGTGATCGTTGATGGTCGTTACCTGCCGGCCTGTGGCAGTGCGCGGCGGCGAACTGAATGCGACTGACTGATCCTGGGGACGACCGAGCGCAATCGGTGGAGCGTTCGTGCGCGGCCGTGCGCGGACACTCACGGGTTGGAACATGGCCGCCGGCGCGGTGCTCTGTCGTCCCTTGTGACAGGGAATACGCAATATTGTTTCACCAGATGACTGAGGGGTGTTGGCCTTGTCGGTAACGCCCATCACTTGCTATTGCTAAGAAGGCGGAGGCTTTCTTGTGGTCGGAACAGGACCGACGACATCTCGGTCGGCCAGGGGGAAGAGACGTGTATACCGCGATTCTGTCAATCGTCACCCCTTCCTTGAAGTTGGCCTCATGCTGAACACGCGAACACTCCATGGAGGAAGTCGAGCGTCCGGTGCGGCCCACAGTCGTGTGCGGGCCGCCGCTGCCGCTGTCGTGTCCGGGCCGGTCGGCAGGGCCGGCCCGGCTCATCGGCGGTATGGCCATCCGCGGCCCCAATCGTCGTGAGTGATGCTGCCGCTGTCGCCGCGGATCGCGGCCGCGGCCCGGCCCCCGCGGTATCGGTGTGCCGCCGATGTCAGGCCGCGGCGCCCGGGACCGTCAGTGTGCCGCCGATGTCAGGCCGCGGCGGCCCGGGACCGTCAGTATGCCGCCGATGTCAGGCCGCGGCGAGTCGGGACCGTCAATGTGCCGCCGATGTCAGGCCGCGGCGGGTCGGAACCGTCAGTGTGCCGCCGATGTCAGGCCGCGGCGGCCCGGG